CATCATGTCTCACTGTCTGGGTAGGAAGTTTGAGGAGCAGAAAGAAGAAGTGAAATGGCTTCAAATGAGTTCCCAAGTCACTATGAATTTTAGATTTGTCATCTCATTTCCCTTGGGAGCCCAAAGGATTGAAGTTTTGAGATGCTGGGTTGGATAGATTGTGATCTCTTTCATTTCCAACTCCTAAAAGTCTGTTCTCTTTCCTTGGAAGGCTTCTGAACAGACTTCAGGAGCCTGTAGGTAAGCTGGGATAAAGTCTCAGCCCATCAAGGAGAGTTTTTATTCAGTAAGGCAAAGCAGAAAGCAGGCTTCAGGGGATGGAGTTTACTGCTCCTCTGGAGCAGTTCCCAGCACCCACATTGGGTTCACAACCACCTGGAACTCCAGCTTCAGGGGAGCCAAGGCTTCAGGTCTCTCTGGGCACCTGCACATGCGCATGGCCGCACAGAGATGCACATACAATTAAAAAAAAGGCTGACTTTGGATAGCATGGGGCTCTAGACAAAGGTAGCCTGGCTACAGACCTGTGGCTCGGTGTCCCCTTCCCCAGCCAATGTAAGTGACCCTTTCAACTGCTGCTGTGCTGTACAAGCCTTTGAAAACGGCACTTACCTCTCCTTTGCCTCCCACCCCCAGTAGGAGCTACAGCTTCCTCCCCCATCAAGCAGATCTCCACCAGAAACTAGTAATTGGCACCAGGAGGCTTACTCTTGTCATTTATGCTGATGCTCTGCTATCCTGTCTTGATATGAGATTGATCAGGAATCCCAGGAGGGAGATTCTCAGCCTCCTCCACCACCACACTCTAAGGCAGCTGTTCTCCACCTTCTTAATGCTGGGACCCTTTAATGCAGCTTCTCATGTTGTGGAGAGCCCCAACCATAACATTATTTTTGTTGCTACTTCATAACTGTAATTTTGCTACTGTTATTAATTGTAATGCAAATATCTGTATTTTCTGATGGTCTCAGGCAACTTCTGTGAAAAACAGTCATTTGACCCCAAGGGATTGAGAACCCCCACTCTAAGGCTGCCTCCCACTTGGTTTCCTTTATAAAACAGTTTAGAGGAATAGGATTTGTGAGCTGCTATCCTGAGATGTTGTCCAGCCTGAGTTACCCTTATGTTCCTCTTTAGAGTAGGAGTCCCACCCAGAGGTCCCTCACCTGTCCCTGAGAAATGAGTACTGGTAGAGGAAGGGGACAGGGACCACCATAGCACCTGCTGTAGCATCTCTGTTACATGGTAACCCCTTTTTCTTGTTTTTAATGGACCCTGGGGAGCAAAGGCAGCCTGAGCCCTCACCTCTGCTTTACCTCTGCAAACAGGCTTCCAAGACCCAAGACCTTGGAGTCTGCACTTGTTTTGGAGTGACTGGATAATAGGAAACATTTACTGTCACAGCTTGCACTAGGTAGTATCAAGAGAAGCCTGTGACCCAACGTGAGAGTGTTGCTTTGCAGGGCTTTCATCCTAGAATAGTGTCTAGCACAGCAAAGAAAAGCCCGATGTTAGAGATTAGAGAAAACGATCTGTCAGGAACCAATATGGGAGAATGCTGAAATGGTCCTAGAGGGCTTTGGGTCTGTAGTTCTCTCAGCCTATGAGCTTTGATGCTCTTCCAAAATGGGAGAAAGGAGGATAGGATTGGGATGGTTTCAAGAAAGTTCTTTCTGGGGAGGGGCATGCGTGAAGAAGGGGAGGGGAAGGTGGGATTAGGAGGGGAGGAGGGAGGGGTTTATGGGGGGATACAAAGTGAATAAAGTGTAATTAATAAAAGTTAAAAAAAGAAAAGAAAGTCCTTTCCAACAGGGGTAGGCAAAAGCTGGACAGAGCAATGGATTCAAATGACTCTGGTTGTTTTACCATACTGTAAATCTCTTTCTTTCTTTCTTTCTTTCTTTCTTTCTTTCTTTCTTTCTTTCTTTCTTTCTCTCTCTCTCTCTCTCTCTCTCTCTCTCTCTCTCTTTCTTTCTTTCCCTCTGAGGAAAGAAAGAGACTTCTGAGGAAAGATAGATAGACTTCTTTCCATCTGTCTGTCTATCTATCTATCTATCTATCTATCTATCTATCTATCTATCTATCTATCTACACAGTATGCTTCCTATGTATATGCCTACACACCAGAAGAGGGCACATCCCAGATTGCATAGATGGTTATGAGCCACCATGTGGTTTCTGGAATTGAACTCAGGATTTTTGGAAGAGACAGTGCTCTTAACCACTGAGCAATCTCTTCAGCCCCCTGTAAGTCCCTCTTTAACCCAAGAGTTTCTGAAGTTAAAACCCCTGAAGTTTTAATCATGATAAAATTCTTTTCTGGGAGACAGGCAGTCTCTTTTCGTCTGTCTGATGCCTGGAATTTTTGCTCCTTTCTGCAGTCCTTGAGGCAGACAGATTACTAAGAGATGAGAGGGATAAAAAGGAGTAAAAGCAACGTCCTGAGTTAGGCACATCACAGTTACAGCAGAAAGGTCACAATCAACAGGTGGATCCAGACCCCCGTAACAGTGGAATGGAATACTTTTCTCACAGCTTTATGCCCTACAACTGAGAGTCCTAACGGAACAGTGACTTTGGTGGTATAGCAGAAATGGTAGATTTTTGAGTCAGTCACCTCTGAGTTCAAGTATAGCTTCCTTATTAAGCAGCTCTGTGCACTTGAGAATCTTAATCTAATTTTAGGGTTGATGTGAGGATTAAACAATCACACACACACACACACACACACACACACACACACCTACACGCCTACCTTAGCCTGTGCAATCACCACTGAGCTAAGAGCACCCTTTCCAGCAGGTCAGGTGAAAGACTCACTTGTAGATTATCAGAACAGCTATGGAAGTGCTCAACACAGTAACTAAGTGAATGGGCTTCACTTGTCCAAGGTTTCCTGGGAAAGCTATGCAAGAATATGGATTGGGGTGGAGGTGAGTGGGCATGGTTCCACATGCCTTTAATGCCTGTACTTTCAAGGCAGAGGCAGGCCTCTGTGAGGTTATAGTCAATTTGGTCTATGTATCAAGTTCCAGGCCAACCAATGAGACCTTGTCTTAAAAGGGGGGAGTGGAGGTTGGGAGGGAGACTGAAGAGATGGTTCAGTGGTTAAGAGCACGTGATGCTTTTGTAGAGGACTTGGGTTAGGTTACCAGCACCCATAGGTTGCCTTACAGACATCTGAAACTCTAGTTCCAGGGATCCAATGTTTTCTTCTCGCTTCTGTGGGCACCAAGTACACACACACATGGTGCACATACATAATACATACATGCAGACACTCCTACATACACATAAAGTAAAGAGATAATCTTAGAATAGGGGTAGTGGAGAACAACCCATAGGCACCTCCTAGGTCCCAACCTAATAAGCTCCTGGTAGAAAGATGAGGAGAGGAGGAGGTTGCTGAATGGCTCTTCAGACTGTGAGGGCATAGAGGAGCTTGGGGTCTTAGCATTGCCTATGTCTCAAGAATGTCCTTTTCTCTGGCCTTTATCTATAACCCCTAAATTCCTATAACCACTTCTAGCTCTCCCAAGTGCCATGTCCCCTCAAATCCAGCTTTGCTGGCTCAGTGATGCCAGCTGTTCTCACCTGTCAGGGACAGTTTGAGCCAGGACTTACTGCGGTGAGCAGAGTTTCCTGAGAGCAAGGGCAACAGCAGCCGCTAGAAAGCTCATGGTGGCATACTTTTAGCGTGAGGTGGGCAAGGACCCAGCCAGGAGGAGGGAAACTAAGGACACTGGGTAGATGCTGCAGCCAAGAGAAACCAACTCCCTGGGGCTGCATGACTCTCCACTTGTCAGCCCCTCCTCCTATCCCCCTGTCCCCCTTTCCTCCTCCCCCTCGGATGCTGATGCTGTCACTCTGAGCACCCAGCATTTTGGGCTCTGCTTTGTCCTCTGTTGGAAGTACACTGTAGTAGTCAGCAGTTCTACTTCTGACTCCCCTTCTCCCTGAGGTGACATCTATCCAGGGACAGCTTGCCACCGGGACCACACTAAATCCAAATGGGGGAGCAGAGACTGATGCAGAAGTGCCCCTGCAGCTGCTGCCCGCTTCCTTCCACTGCCCATTGTGGCTTGCAGAGCTGCTCAACCTTGCACATTCTGTGTCTGTCAGCCTTTTCTAGGAGTTCCCCTCTTTCCCCTTGCCAAGCACACTTGGGATTTGTAACCCTGGAATGATGGAAGATGTGAAATGGGAGATTTCTGAATAGGGATCCCTGTCAAAGATGGAGGAATCTTGCCTTCTTTGTCTCTAGAGAGCAGAGTAAATGGGGAAGCATGCAGAGAGGGTTGAGGAGTGCTGACCTCTGCAGGCCTTGTGTGTCTCCTCACCCTTTGTGTCAGACTTAGTGAGGCAGAAGCAAGATGATCAATAACTGAAATGGGAGGAAGGGGAAGAAGTAGACAGAAGTAAAGAAAGTTCCAGAGGTCATGTTTCATTCTCACTGCCGCTGTGGTGGCTTTTGACAGTCAGGAAAGTGGTGGAGGCTCCTGCAGACAGCGTGCCAGAGTGCAGTCAGGCCATGCTCTCAGGCATCCTCTGGAACCCTTGGCTCTAGTCCCTTCCTGTGCCTAGGGGCACAGGCTGGATTGGATACTGGTTAACAGAAAAGAAAGGGAGACTCTCTGCCTGATGAGCAGACTCTAAGAATCTTGTGATGCACCCCAGCTCCACTTCTGAAATAATCTTGTGGTTGTTTGGTAACTGCTCCTAGTTATTAAAGGACATACATGCATGGTGAGCAGACTGGAGCCTTGTGTGTGGGTGCCAGGTGGGGGCATCCTGGATGTGCTGGCGGTATCTGCAGCTCCCTGGGGCCTCAGGGAAGAGGCAGCAGTGCTGGCCTCAGACTAGAGCAGCTCTCCTAACGCAGGTGACAGGTGTGGGAGGACGTGCTGTTTAGCATGAAGCTGCGCTTCAAGAGACCTTAGTCCTGCCTTTTCCTTTGCTTCTGAAGTGGACCCGGGCAGTCTTCAGTGTGGAAGGAAAGATCAGAATAGCTTGGCAGTGACCCGGTTACCCCCAGAATTCTTATCCCCAGAGGGCCGAGGTGCCACAAAATCAAAAGTCATGTGGTGCTTGACTCGTCCCTTGCCCTTACTCCAAAGAGCGATCAGACCGAAGCAGAGGGTCACTGAGGTGAGGAAGGGGAGAAAGCCCACTGCCAGCACCATAGCTACACCCCTGCTGTCCAGAAAGAAAGGCTCTGGGATTGCTGGCATGGTGACGTTGGGGTCAGAGAGAGTGCCATTTGGTGGTTCAACTTGGATGACTTCTAGCCAGGTCCTCAGGGAGTCATTCCCAGCGACATTACTGACTACACAGACATAGGCCCCCCTGTCCCGCAGCTGCACCGAGCGGATCTCCAGTGTACCGTCTTCCAGGACCCTTACTCTCCCAGCCCTCCCCAACCAAGCTCCATGAGGCCTCATCCAGGACACAGTGGGGGCTGGATCCCCATCTCCGGAGCAGGAGAAAACAGCATACCCACCCTCCTCTGCAATGACCCATCGAGGCCCAGACTTTCGGATCAGGGCTGGTTTGCAAGTGAAGTGGCCTGGAGGCAGGATGTCTGAAAACTCCCTTAAGCTCTTCCCTTGGACGTGCTGGGGGCCAGCACAAGCAGGGGGGGATGTGCCGAAGTCCAGGCGGCGGCGGAGGCGGAGCAGCCAGAGGAGGCGGCAGTCACAGGTGAGGGGGTTACCGGACAGCCTCAGGGTGACCAATTTGTCTGGAGAAGGGAAAGCTGTTTCCTCTAGAGTCTGAAGAGCATTGTCTGCCACATCCAGCAAGTGGAAGGCAGTCAGGCCGTGGAAGGCGTGGGCAGCGATGGAGGTGAGGCAGGCGCCTGACAGCCTGAGCTCCTGGAGCCGGACCAGGGGGCTGAGCCTTCGGGCTGGGATGGCCGAGATAGGATTCTGAGATAGATCCAAGACGCGGAGGAAGCTCAAGTGGTGTAGTGCTTGGAAGGGTACTGAGCTCAGATTGCAGTGGGTGATGGCCAGGCTGCTCAGGTTGAGCCCAACCAGGCTCCCCGGGTCCAGGGCCTCCAGAGATGGCCAGTGGTGGATCTCCAGCTCCTTTAGCTGCCTTAGCCCTCGAAGTGCCCCAGCTGGCAGCCTCTCAATATCCAGTTCTCTAAGCCTAAGACCTACCAGAGCTGGGAGCTGGGCAAGGGCTAGGCCAGGCACTGTGCTGAGGTTGCAGCGTTCCAGGGTGAGGGTACTTAGCTTGGCCAGCCCAGAGAAGGCCCCTGGAGCCACAAACACCAAGTGGTTGTCTCCAACCTCCAGCTGCTGGAGGCTGCCTAGCTCACTAAAGGCTCCATCTAGGAAGAGGACAATCTGATTGAGGCGAAGGTCCAGCAGCGTTAGGGCAGACAGGCCTGAGAAGATCCCAGCACCCACAATCCTCAACCGATTGCCCTGTAGCCTCAGGGTAAGTAGATTTTGTAGGCCATGGAAGGCCCCAGGCTCAAGGGTGGAGAGCTGGTTGTAGCTGAGGTCCAGTTCTTGGAGGTGGCCCAGTCGGGAGAGCATGCCCCGCTGAAGCCCCCACAGGCGGTTCCCACTCAAGTCCAGGAGCTCTGTGTCCAGTGGAAGCCCTCCAGGGACAGCGTCCAGTCGCCTGTGGGCACAAAGTACTGCCCGTGTCTGGGAGGTGCAGTCACACACAGTGGGGCAGCTACTGAGGCTCCCTCCAGGCAGGAGGAGCAGGAAAAGGAGTGGGGACCATGGGAGCCAAGCTTGCTTTGGAGTGGTGGCTGCATCCATCCCCTGAGGCCTGGAATAGATGATGACATGTCTTCTTTGGAAAGTGGCTTCAGAGGATGGTGACCCTGCACTCCACTGAACCACCTTAAAGGGGAGGAAAAGTGGCCTGTCTGTCTAGATCTTGCCAGCAAGTGTGGCACATACATGCCGTACCTTAACAGGAAATCTCACCTTCGTAGCCATGGATAACTGCCCATGTACTTCCTATGCACGGTCAAGCTGATTTCTGTGGTGGAAGCTGGAAGGGAAAGAATTCTGCATCTCCCTGTAATGAGCTTTCCTCCCTGTATCTATGAGACCAGGAATACCTGGGGTCCTGTCTCCCTGAGATCTGCTCTCTGCAAACTCTGCTCTGTTCTTCTCACCCAGTTCTTGTTCTTCCATATTTTGTGCCTACAGCTTTACCTCAGGCTCAGGGAGATCCTCATGTAATCTTGAGTTTCTGACCCTGCTGACTGGAGAAAGGTCATCACCTGGACCAAGTCTCCGGAAGCTAGGGGCATGCAAGCTTCAGCACTGCTTCAGTCTCTGCCCAAGGCCCGGGCTCTGGACTAGCCAATTTGGTGTCCTCAGAGTGTTTGTGTGGATGACAAGCCTGGCTGTATATTATCCATGGAACAGAGTACAGGGGCACTAGATGACGAGACTGGGAATTCCTTACAAAAGGCCCAGGGCAGCACCTCTTCCCTTAAAGATGGGGTTGTGATGTGGAAACTATTCAAAGAGTGCTCAAATTTTATATGGGGTTTTCAGCTCTGAGCTTCTCTTACATCCTTCCTTACTTGTGTTTTGATTCTCGCTTGTATGTGCTTCCGAGAGAGATCTTTCATCCCTTTCACCTGAGCTGCCCAAGAAGGCACAATAAATGATTTGTGAGCCAAGGAGCCATGGATAAAGAGGAAGAGACGGTACATGACCTGATGGGTGGGAGGAAGGGAGCCACTGGCTAGCATAGTGGACACCTGGATACAAGCAGTGCTCAGCACCCATCTATATAAAGTGGGTTTCTGGGTACCCAAAGACTGGGCAATAGCAGGAGATGGTGACCATGGTAACTGTTGAAGGCTGGACAAGGTGATAGAGATGGAGGTATCTTTAGTGTTGAGTGCCTCTGCTTGCCTTGCTAAAGCAGTAGGGACCACAAGAGAGGAGGGATATTAGAGTTAGAAAGAGATGGCAGAGGGACAGGAGCAGAAGCAAGCTGGAGGAAGCTATTGGGGGAAGCCTGCTGTTTCCCCTGGCCGCAGGTCCTGCACCTCTGGACTTTGGGGCTTCGGTTTTCTGTGCCCTGTGGAGTCAGCTTTCTTCTGCATGCCCTATTTTTCTCCCATGTGGGACACAGAGGGAACTGTGACTTCCCTTGCCTTCCTGTACTCTAGGAGAATAATTCTGGAGACTCTCCTCTAGCCACTTCAGGGGACTCCAGCAGATGGGAAACCAAAGAGAGATACCAAGTTCAATCCTCAGTATGGAGGACAGAGGGAAGAGCAGGGGTATGAGGGATGCAGAAAACTGTTGTGAAGTGACTTGGGAAGAGGAAAAGTGGCAAGAGGCAATGGCTGCTGTCTCCCTTCCTGCCCCTTTCACAGCCTAACAGGCATCGCTGGTGTGCTAAGAAGTCTCAGCCTCTCCTCTCCCTGTGCCTGTTCTGGGAAGCTACCTGACAGCTAGCTCTTCATCACTCTTGCTGCAGTTCCTGTTCATCCCTTTGCTCTGCATTAAGCAAAAGTGAGGCGCGTGAGCCAGCTCCCTCCCTTCTGCTTCCATTGAGTTTCCTCTTTGTCCCTCCTGGCCCAGTGGCTGGGGGACTTAGGGTCAACATCTTTTATTTAACCACAGTCTTTCTTCCTTTGTTATCCTCTATGGCTACAGGACTGGCCTCTGGTCACTTTACAGGAAGAGATGAATGTTACAAAGCTCTTCCCGGGGTCCGGAGTCTCAGTCATTGCTCCTCAGGGCTATGGAGCTTTCTTGTGTCTGTGTGGTAGCTACAGACCTATAGGAACACATGTCTACTTTCAAGCGCATCAGACTGAGGCAGGGGGACCTGCATGGTGAGAGAGATTTTTGGAGTATCCACACTGACTGTGGGGGAAACCTTTCTAGAAGTAGGAGTAGGAGTAGGAGTAGGAGGGGTGGTCTCCTTGGCATCTCCCTACCAGGGGTACCCAGGACATTTTAGTTTTCCAGTCACGGGATGAGTGGTTGGCTGGATGGAGGGTGCAAGCTCTCTTTCCTGCACTGGCACACTTAGCGTGGCCTTGTCTTTGAGAATGCCAGGGGAAAGGGCAGCTGAGACTTGCGCACAGAGGGCAGGGGCACTTACCGGAGTAGCTGGAGGGTGTCATCAAGTTGGGCGCTGCATCTCTCCAGGGCTGGGGCCTGTCCCATCCAAGCTGCACCTTGGCTTCTCCACCTCCCCTGTGTGTCTGACTCCCCGCTCCCCACTGCCCAGCAGCTTGCGGCATCAGCCGCCAGGCAGGACTGCTGTGGCTGCAGCTGCCTCTGCTGCTACTGCGGCCGGCTGCGCTGCCAAGACCGAGCGAGAAAAAAGAGCCAGAAAGCATTTCTCCTTTCCCCCCTTTCCCTCCTCTTCTCTCTTTTAAACCAGAATGAGTCTGCAGCAACCCTGTTGGTGCAAAATAAATAAATAAAACAACCAGGGAGGGCTGCAGCCAGCGCCACTACGGGATGACGAAAGTCGGAGGAGGAAATGAAGAGGGGACTCTGGGCTGGGGCAGGGTCTGCTACTGAGACAGCCTGGGAAGCTTGAAAGAGTTCTGACATCCTGGTTCCTCCTGGGGAGCTAGAGAGCACTCAGGACGCTGCTTCCACAGACTCTAGTCTCGTAGATACAGGCAATTCTGTTCAATCTCTGAATCTAAACGGGCCTGTGGGCATCATTTGTAGGAAGTTCTCAGTCCAGAATATCTTCCTGCAGTTCAGTTTGCCATTCTTCCTGTGCCAGTTAGGTGAGCACGAGTTTCCAAGTCTCCTGGGAGGGACTATTTACCTTGGGAGAATCTGGCGGGGGTGGTGGTGGCTAAAATTCTTATAAAACAGACGAATTGCTGACTCGACACAGGAATAAGATTGCAGAGCAAGCATGTATCCTAGGCAGTCACATCAAGTCTGCCACCGCCCTGAGTGTCTGTCCTGCACCCTTGCACAACACACATGCACAATACACTTCCAGCCTTTAAAATCATTTTATAAAGAATGGCACAAGCTGGGGTTTATGTTTACCTAGCTAAATCCTTCCCCAGGGAGGAAAAACAAATTCTCCCTCCTCCTCATCACCTGCTTACCCCTCCTAGGGGAGTCTGGCTTTTACAAAGCTGAGAGAAATTCTGAGTAAGATCATGGAGAGCAGGTCCCCGCCCTGTTCCTAGTTATGCTGGAGTCAGCAGCACACAGGCACAGAGCAGGGCATGGTCCTGCCCTCCTTCCTCACAGAGAGAGACGTGTGGAGACTAAAGTCAAGTGCGTCCTTCCAGGTGCTGCTCCTTGGATTTCCGGATGATCAGCGTCCAGTCCTCTGCTTCTCGTAGGGACAGTTTATGGGACAGAATGCAGCTGGAGCTGGGATGGTACCCTGTGTGGACTGGAACTCTTCCTTAAGGCTCTTAGGCTTCTCAGAGCTGCGACCTCAAGGAAGAGATTGTATCAGAGGAAAAGTGTTTACAGAACTTGGTTACCCCATGCAGAGGCTCTGTGTACCCCATCTGTGTGTGGATGTGACAGGGCTTCATCACTGGAGGCAGCGCCGCTGTGTGCTCCACCTGTGTGTGAATGTGTGTATCTGATTAGACTGCTAGCAAGGTTGGCTTTACAAGTGTGCACAAGAGGTTCACGCCATCGATGTTCTTGGCTACCATTGTTTTCTCTCTCCACACCCAAGCCCCATGAAACAGTCATCCTGGCCTTCATCTCCATCCCATCCTCATTCTTTACATATCCAGGTATTTTAGATCCCAGAAAAAGGGCAGGGTGGCTAACAACATTACAGAACTAAGAAGAAGAAGGAAGGCAGAAAAATCTCAAGGATCTGGATTCTTGTTATATACATACAGGTCCTTCTGGGTGCTTGCCACTAGTCTCTGAGCTAGGTCCATCTCCCCCAGCCGGAGCCCATGGGGAAATTCTATGAGGTATTCAAAGGGCAGGTGTTAGCTTTTGAGCCTAGAGTTGAGTTCATCCCGGGTACCTGGATTTATCCCTCTGTATGTTTTCAATAGGTCTTTATATCCTATCTATCCCATATCTTCCAGAAGCCAGGGTGGAACTTATGGGAAATCAAACAAAGCAAGCCTTTTCTCCATCACCTGCCACTGTTGGACTGCCAGGCAAGCCTCAGGGCAGAAAACCAGTCTTAGTATTTGCTTACTCCCAGGGATATCACCCTCCAGAGAGTGCAGAAAGGGAAAGGCTGGGAGATGGGCCAGCAGGCTGAAGGAAGTAGAAAGCTGTCCTTCCTCCAGGTCACTCGGACAGGCCCTCCGGGGACGCAACATCAGTGCTGAAGAGTTCCTTATAGAGTGGAGGGAAGGTGGCTTGGACCACGATGGGGTGGAGGTGCTGGAAGATCTGCAGCTTTTCCACATGTTGGCTGCACAGGCTCCGGAGCTTCCCTTTGGGTGGCAGCTGGGGATGGGTTAGGAGGTAATGAGGATCAGTACTTCAGTGCTTACAGAGCAAACACATCTTGCTGTTACTGAGCTAGGTGACCTCCCTGATGCTCTGTCCCAATTAACCCCACTGGAGCAGCCCATCTCACTGCTTAGATGTGTGTCTGGAAACCGAAGGTAAGTTGGAACTGGTGTGAGACAGTGACCTTTTCCTGGGTTCAGTTTTGAAAGCCACTTCTATACCCTCCGCACTATGCCTATCTTGGAACAAGGACCCTCTCGAATGATGGCAAAAATGGCTCTGCCTACCCTGAACTGACTTTGTTCCCATGGCTCTTCACCATGGTTCACGTTGTTTCCTTAGCTGGAGTATCTTCCTAACTCTCTTTCACTCTGCAAATGTTATCTCTTCTGAGAATAGCCGCCCCCGCCCCCTCCACTCCCTCACTGGGTTAAAGCCCTTCTTGTAGGCTTCCTTCTGTGTAGGACTTGCTACACTGTAGAAAAAGGATCCAGTTTGCCTTCCTGGCCCACATGTACTTAGATAAGGTCTGTCTGTCTTTTTCTTACTATGTAGTTTCTGCTCCTGTTATAATGCTGGCACGGATGCTCAACAATTGCTTGTTTGAACTAAACAGTTTCTAAGCAGGTACCCAAATGTTGCAAGTAGTAAATCAGTCCAGTCGCCTTCAGCCAAAGGAAGAAAGGAGCAGAAGCCCATGGGACAAAGAGGGAGGAACAAAGACTCCAGACACCATCTTTCCTATGCAATTTACAGCATAATAAGGCGAGACTCAAAAATGCCTCGTTGTTAAAACTTAAAAACATCTCCCCCTTCTTAGTTTAGTTACCTAGAAAGGTAACAAAGAAAAGTAGGCAGCAGGATGACTCCCTTACATCTCTTGAATTTGTTATGCTTTTTTGTTTTAGCACTTTGTGCTTGCCTGGGTTACTACAATAGTTTCTTTTTTCTTCAAAAGATATTTGTTGAGAAATTTGATAAATCTAGATGAGGCACTCATGAGCATTGATGTAACATCAGTGAATAAAAAGTGTACTTTTAGTAAGTGTGCATATTTAATATACAGTAGCCAGGGAGTCATAAACAGTTATGTGCTGCCTAGCAACTTTTTGGGGAATTGTGAACACCAAACCACACTGGTCCCATAAGGTTAAAGGGGAAGTGACAGCATAGCTGTGCTCATCTGTATAAGGCTAGCCTGTGGTGCCGCATGAGGTGAAACAATTAGTAGACACATTTCTTAGAACCCCCTCCTGTTGGTAAGCAGCATACAACTTTATCTAGTATTAAAGCAGCATGACGGATGGAGTCCTTCTCCTGTCATTTCCAATTGTTTATTCATGCCTTCATTCAGGAGACATTTTCCCTTAAACAATTGCCCAACAGGAGACAACAGCAGGTACAAGAGGCCCCGAGGGAGATGGGACCAGGCCTGGTATGTTTAAGGATTAGCAAAGAAACAGTGTGGTCAGAGTAGGGAAGACAAAAGGGTGGTGCAAAGTCAGGTGAGGGAGAGGACAGGGTCCATCATGGTCCAGCTGACTATAACACAGACTCCAGAGTTGAATTTTGGCAACCATGGGAGGCTGGAGAACAGAAGAGGCAGGCGATAGGCTTGTCTGCTTAAAATGGCCAGGGTGGATACTGGGTGAGAGCTGTGTGGCCCTCATATGGCAGACAAAGATGGAGTGGAAAGTTGAGTTAGGAGTTTAATAATCCAGTTGTGGCCAATAGTTGGGGAGTATATCATGGAAGCTGTGATGTATTTTGAAAGTGGATCCTGCTGGGCATGGTGGTACATGTCTGTGATCTCGGCACTCTCGGAGGTAGAGGCAGTAGGATTATGAGTTCAAGGCCAGCCTTGGCTCCATGAGACCATGCCTCAAAAAATAATACAAAACACACCAAAGTGAATCCAAGCACATTTGCATTCCCAGTCTCTGTCTCTCCCTCTTCAAATCCATTTTGTTGCAGATTCAAGTTTACGTTCCTCAGGGAGAGACTGAGGTAATTTCTATATCTCAGTTCTAGTGTGAGGATTGTGTGTAACAAGGACCTAAGCAAATGATTGCATAGATGGATCCTTTACACAATAAGTTTGGACAATAACTTCCCTAGGGACAGCTCTGAAGACAGCATTGCTCTAGTCTTTGGGGCTCCCCATTGCCTAGAAGCAAAGCTTTCACTCTTCCTATGGCACTGGAAGTTTCCCTGCTGCTGTTCCTCTAACAGTTTTAGGCCTACCTCCTTCTTCACTGGTCTACCCTAGCTTCTGACCTCACATTTACAAAAGTGCCATGAGGGCTGAGGAGACAGCCCAGTCAATAAAGTGCTGGCCTTCAAGCATAAGGACCTGAATGCAGATTCCAGAACCCATTTAAAGAAAATCAGGTGAAAGCTGGGCATGATGGCCCAAGACTTTGATTCCAGTACTTGGGAGGCAGAGGCAGGCCTCTCCTTGAGTTCAAGGTCAGTCAAACAGAAAAACCCTTTCTCAGAAAAAGAAAACAAAACAAAAACCAAAAAAAAGGGAAAAAGAAAGAGAGAGAGACACAGAGAGAGGAAGAGAGGGAGAGAGAGAGAAAGAGAAAGCCTGGTAAGATAGTATATGTTTATAATCTCAACATTTGAGATGTGAAGACAGGCAAATCTCTGGGGGCTCTTAGTAGTCCTGGGTTAATCACAGGCCATGCCAGTGTGAGACCCTGTCTCAAAATGAATTAATGAGTGAATGAAAAATATAAAAAGGTGGCACCACCAAAGGAATGATACCTGAGGTTATCTGACCTCTTCTGCATATGTACCCACATGTACATGACCACGCGTGCGCGTGCACACACACACACACACACACAGACACACACACACACACACACACACACACACACACACACACACGTGCCAAAAGCTATCTTCCCTCTATGTACTATTGGCTTCCTTAGAGTTCCATTAATTCCATTCCCTAAACCTGGATCCCTGCTCTGCCTCATGAATGTTTGTTAAAACCTGTATTTTTCATGGCCGCATTTTCTCACTTCACATCTTTTAAAGGAAGCCTTTACATTTTACTCCCTGTACCCTCAAAATTTTGAGAATTTTTACATTTCTTATTTGTGTGTGTGCTTGTGTGCACACACTCATGTATGGAGGTCAAAGGTCAACTTGCAGGACTTAGATTTTTGCTTTCATCCTGTGGATCTCAGGGATGAAACTCAGGTCGTCATGCTATTCTTTGCGGCAAGTGCCTTTACACACTGAGCCATCTCACCAGTTCCTTAAATTACCTTGAACCCCTGTCTACACCATCATAAATATTTTTCCAAAACCACCCCCCAGTTTTTAGAGGGGGGTTTCATGTAGCTCAGGCTGGAGCTGAGGATGACCTTGAACTCTGTTCCTCTTGCTTCCTTCTGCCTCTTGAGTTCTGGTATTACAGGTACACACCACCATGCCGTGCTTCCAAGAGCTTTTATAATAATAAATCAGGGGCCCCAAGAATATTGTCAAAAGAACATTGGGATTAAGACTTGTGTTATCAATTAATACCTGTAGCTGAAATCACTTTATTGCTACAGGAAGATTTTAACGACTGTCCTATTATAACTGGGTTGCCATAAGGATAAGAGACATACCATCCAAAGCACTTTGTTAATCTCAAAGTTAAAATAGTAAAGTATCATGCATCCTACTCCATGTTAGCATTATATTAGAAGATACGCAAGTCTCTTTATACCAGATTAAAATATCTTATTGGGGACAAGAACTGCATCTCTGTATCTTTCCACAGTGCCTTGTGTAAGCAGGTGCTGGGTAGGTGTCAGCTCTATTAAGCTGAATTGTCCCCTGGCGGTCCCTTACAACTGCAGGCTAACTTCCCATCTCTCCGTACATGGAAACAGATGCTCCGGCAGCCCCACTGCTGCTGCAGACGCTGACACAGCACAGCGCGGCAGTACTCCCTCCTCTGCTCCTGAAGACCCTGGTCCTCAAGTCACAGAACTGGCAGTGGGTCTAGTCTTTGTGCCCTGTGGACTGCTCCTACCTTGGCTAGGAGGCCTTGGCGATGAGTCTTGCAGAGGTGGTGATGGAAGGCCAGCTCCAGATTGTATTGCAGATGCTCCACTCTCCTTTTCTCTTGGAGCCCAGGACGGTCTGAAGGAAGGGATGTGACAAGAGTGAACCAGAAACAACACAGACAGTTGTGCCCAGCAAAATGGTGTTATGTATCTTTTTGGAGAGGGTCTCTCAGCTGAGTGACTGTGTGTATGTGTGTGTATTCACGCAAGTGAATACACTTGTGTGTATTCACACACACACACACACACACACACACACACACACACACGTGCACAAGTTGGTTTGATAACAGCAAGCTATGGGACTCCGGGCCTGTCTGGATAACTACTAGGGAAACCAGACAGAGATGAAAGGGTGAGGATTGTTAACCTCCTAAGTCCAAGGTTACCTTGTCCCTGGTCACCTGGTCTTTCACATAGCTCATTCAATGTCAGGCAGTAGATTTCTGTCATGGATGTAAAATGTTGGAAGAGAGCATCCCCATTCCAACAAGAGTGGCTAAGTAACAGACCTAGAGCAGCAGACCCACCTCCCTAGGTCCTCTGGATATTGTGTTCAGTGGGCTTGGCCCAGCCACTCTAGTCCAGTGGAGGTGACACCCAGAACCCTACCACTGCTGCAGGCATCCTGTCTCTAATGATATCACACCAATTCCCCATCTTAATGGCTCAATCTGGAGGTGGTTATTAAGATTTTAGGTGCAGCCTGGGTGAGTTAAACAGAATCTGGAAGTGGGACCCAGACACTCAATCAGTTTCTGTTGTTGTTGTTGTTGTTTTGTTTTGTTTTTTGAGACAGTGTTCACTGTGTAGTCCTGGCTCCCAGGATGGCCTTGAACTCAGAGATCCACCTGCCTCTGCTTCCCGAGTGCTGGATCAAAGGCATGTGCCACCATGCCCTCTCCGCTACTCAATCAGTTCTTAAAGCTCCCCAGGTGATTCCAGAGGAGTTGCTGCTATATACTGACCAATAGGTTAACATCTGTTGGGAAAGTGGCTCATTTTCTTCCAACCTCCCTTCTCCCTGCTGCCCCACTGTGTGCTGCCCTTGCCCTGTGTTAAGGTTCATCTGGATACTTTATTGAGCAGAGCTCATTTTGCTATTTCAAGCAACTTCCCAGACCTAGCCACTTCTGAAGGCCTCCATTAGCGGCTGTCCCAGCCACCAGAGCGCCCTTTCCCATGCGCAGCCACACTTACTGGCATTGATGAGAACCAGGGCCGTGTAGAGGGCAATCTCATCCTCAGTAAAACATAGGGTACTGAGTAACTGGGAAAAGTCGAATATGGAGCTGATGAGCTCACTGCAGCCTGCCGGGGTGGAATTGAAGAGATTAAGCACGGTAGCTGGTCCCCAAGGACACCACCCTTCGGGTGTTTAGAGCCAGGGGACCATCAACCCTGTATAGATGCTTTAGGTAGGCTTGGCACCAGAAACTTCTCATTTACCCCTGTCCCTCACCCAAGGCTCGGAACAGCTCCACGCCACCATATTTGCCTTCAAAAAAGACCGTATGATTGTTGGCATTGTAGGCCCGGCACATTCTGACCAGCACGACTTCCATTGCTCCTGGATAAGGGGAGAGATGAGTGGGCAGTGTCAGGCAGAGGTAGGGACTCACTTCCTCCGTGTCCTGGCTTCCTTAGGCCACCTCCCTCCACTTGGTCCTGGCTCTGCCTCCCAGGCTTGCTTTGCATCTATCCCCAGCCCTTGCTCTTCCCACCCCATCCCCAGGCCTGTTCACCCCAGGGCACCTGCTTTCAGTAGTATGATCTGGTCATTCTGGCAGAGCTCCATGAAGCCCGAGAGCCGCTTGGCAAACTCCACCACGTATTGAATGGCCTCAGTGAGGTGGTGGGCACAGCGCTCCCACATCTCCCACATCGACTGCAGGGACAGAGGAGGAGACCTGTGATCCTCCCAAGTCCCTGCACCCCGCAAACTGGGTGTGTGAATTCTACATTTCCATGTTTCTAACACTGAAGCCTATTAGCACAAATGTACTCAGGGTCAATTCCTGTCAGTGGGTTCCACCTCCTGATCCCCCCCCCCCCCCCCCCCCTCAGCATAAGAAAACCTGGAGAAATACACAAGAGATGAAAACAACTTATTTCTTAACTCCAAGCTCCCTTTTCCCTGATAACCTTGTCTCTCAAGAAACCCATTCAGTGCTAGATTTTAGGATTCTGCTATGGGAGAGAAAAAGTTGCTAGAGAAATTCCCAGACTCCTACAGAGTGGCTCCAGATAGGAGGTGATGGCTTTCCAGTGATAGCTGCTGTGAAGAAAGGGAAACCGAACAAGATACAGTTTCACCTGGAAACAATGTACACATTGTTATTGCTGCTCCCCCTGAAGAAGGTCTCAGTAACTGAGAGAGGCAAATGTGAAGTGCCAGCAGATTTCAGAGCAGCTGCCATTGTCAGAGTGTGACAGAAGGGACGGCAGACACTGTAGAGCCCTCAGGTTTGAACTTGACTTTGGCTCTATCACTTTGTGATCCTGAGTACCTCTACCTCAGTGTAAACACTATTCTCTGAGGCCAGTTGTTAGAAGGGCTGAGGATGATCTCACAGGTATGCCTAACCTTTGGCATTGTGATATGATATGGTAATCTATAAAATTTATGCCTGGGAATCAAGTTTTGTTTGTTTGTTGTTTTCAATATCATGTTTTAAAGCTGGGTGTGGAGAACACACCTTTAGTGCCAGCACTTGGGAGGCAGAGATAGGTAGATCTCTGAGTTTGAGGCCAGCCTGGTCCATAGAGTGAGTTCCAGGATAGCCAGGGATACACAGAGAAACCCTGTCTCTAAAACAAAACAAAACAAACTAACTAACAAAAACCCCTCATGATTTTGCATTGGGCCACATTCCTTACTATCTTTAGTCAGTGTTAGCTCACAGGCTGCAGGTTGGAGATCTATCATCAAAGCTTCAATTACAATTTCTGACGCGAAAGGGCATCCAACAAATGGCCCTTGGTACTGATTGGTGTCAGTTACTAACAGGGGTAAAAGGCAGTGTAAAAGGCAGCGTGGTGGGGTGGGAGGGGAGGCAGGTCGCCAGCTAGGTAAAAATTCAATAAGCAGGAGCTATGAAAACACTCATTTAGCTGCTAGGACATAGACAGACACATCTATTGACCAACCCGTTCATGATACCCTCTCTACCCCTATACCTGTGTGAGTGGCCATCTCTGGGCTCTTCCAGTGGAGTGATCCCCTCCCTTCCCTCATGTCTCTTGCCCTCACCTTTCTCTGGTAGCTAGTCACCTCCTCCCTTGAGAAGAGGTTGGTACGCTGTCGTAGGAGGTCCTCCAATCGCAGCTGGCACGTCTCTCGATAGGACTTGCAGACATTCTGTACCAGGTACTCTGGGGCCAGAAGAGGAAGATGCAGCTAGATCTCAGTGGGTTCTCACCCTGACTTTCATAAAGGGGCCCCCTGCTTGGCCTACCCTGCTCAGCTTCCTCTCTTTGGTTCTTGGCCTAGTATCTCCCAATTCCTTAGGACTGATGTTTGGTTACGAGGGATGCTGGGGAATTCTTCCCTCATTTTCCCCACCCTCACCCTTCCCAGGTGCTCACCTATGTCTGTCAGAGAGGTATACGGTGCCTCTGGGGCAGAGCAGAAACTGGGACTGCAGTGGCTGTCTGGACCCTGTTCTGGTTCCCCAAGCTTAGGATGCCTGGATTCCTCAAAACGAATTCCACGTCTTCCAGGAGTAAGCTGTCTGTCTGTGCTATAGATGCCATCTCTGCCTTCAGCTTTGCCTCGCTCTGGACTGTACTCAAGGTGGCAGGAGGCCCCTTGAACCTCTGTTTTGGCCAAGGTGTTGGAATATGGTGGCCCAGAGCCCGAGGCTCTCAGTAGGCCAGGGGGACAAGCAGAGGCCTCAGGCAGGTCAGGTGAAGCACCCAGTGGTAGCTGCCCATCCGGGAGCCCTAAAGTGTACGTAAGTGTATCTGCTCCATGACCCCCTACTTGAGGAGTCTTGGCCGCTTGTTCCTGTTGTTGCTGCTGCTGCTGCTGTTGCAGTTGTTTTTGCACTTCTGCATGCAGACTGTCCCTCTGCTTCTTGGACATTCGGCCGAACTTGACAGCTGAAGAAAGTTCAGGGATCAGTACAGAAGGCAAGAGAACACAGCACAGGCCGGGTCAACAGGCACACAAATCAGACCCCAAACTCTATTTCTCCAGCTTCATGTATGAACTTTACTTTTGGGAGCTTAAGCTCCAGGCTCCTCCTGTGCTTGGTTCTGTTCCCTTTAGGATTGGTCTCACTGGCATTTCCATCTCCTAGCAAAGTCTTTTCAGTTCTAAACTATAAGCCAATAGTGACAGAACTCAAGCAAAGAGCTTGGGCCGGGGATTCTAGTCTCCTGAGACTAGGCTGAGGTGGGGGTCGAATAGGGGACCTTAGGCTGTATTGGGGTCAGCTTGCCTGTCTGGGAGGGCTAGAGGAAGAGAAGGGCTGCGAACACAGGTTTCCCTGTGGTCAGGCCTGCAGGCTCCCTGGTGACCTAGATACTCACCACAGCCCAACCCAGGCTCCGTGGCTTGTTTCTGAACATCCTCTTCTGCTCTCTCTTTCCTGCCCTTTCGCTCCCCCAACCCCTCCCAGGTGTGGGGGCACAGCCCTTCGCCCCGCCTGCCCCTTTGCACCCCTGCATGTTTCCTTTCGCTTTGTTATTTTGAGCACTGAAAAGTGCTGACAGGATCCTTCTGGCTCCTCCTCACCTCATGCCCCCCACTCCACCCAGGGCTCCTTCTGTGGTGAAGATGGTGGGTGAGGAGGGTGGATAAGGCCCTAGGAACACCACACTCTATCCCCACCTTCTGGATCATTCTCAGGCCAACTCTGATGGCGTTCCTAGCTACAATCCCATGTCCGAGGATGGTCACACAGGGCTTGAGAGGGAGATGGAGCTGAACTCGGGTGACAGGGAAGGAGGTAACAACGTGGGGACTAGATGGGAACTAGGCCAGGAGAAGGCAGGATGAAGAGAATTCATTGGAGGAAGAAGAGACAAGAGTGACAGGATGTTGGGAAGGGTTTTCTGGAGCAGAGCCTGGAGTTGAGACTCTGAGGGACCTGGAGACCCTCAACAATGGTGGGACAAAGGGCTGTGGTGGAAGAACGGCGAGAGGCCCCTGGTAGGGGGTTTTTGCAGGCCAGCTCTGTCTGGCGAGAGCCGGGATGGCTCTAGAGGGACAGGGACTCTTGGGGGGGGGGACATCCTCACCGTCTCGGGACATGCCCAAAGCCAGGCACTTCTGCAGGCGGCAGTGCTGGCATCGGTTGCGGCTGTTTCGGTCGATGGGGCAGTTCTGCTGACGGGTACAGGAGTAGGCCACATTACATTGCTGGCTACGACGGAAGAAGCCCTGGGGAGGAGAGACTGTTTGTGGCCACCCAGGCTGAGCTCAAGGTGGTCCCCAGGACCTCCAATCCATGTGCACTGGTCTCAGGACTTTCTACACCTGGAAAGGCACCAAAGTCCCAGAACCTCCACCATATAACTGTGACTGACCCTGTGGTCACTTTCCCACATCTAGACTAGATCCTCCTCCTCCGTCCTGTCCATGACCCAAGGGACCATGAAACAGAGACCACTGAAACAGCCAAGTGTGTGTCTGCAGACGAATGCCTTCAACTCACCTTGCACCCCTCACAGGTGATAACCCCATAGTGGATTCCTGATGACTTGTCCCCACAGATCTTGCAAGGGATCACTTCAATTTGTGCTGAACGGGAGAAAGAGAAGTTAGCTCAGAATATTGTTCTGGATTCCACTACTATGAACCTGGGCTGCAGACACAGGGGCGTGGTGCTCCCACCACTTCTTCAGTGAGCTCCAACATGCCCTCTTGCATTATGGAAGGGGAAGTAAATCGATAAATGTTTTTCAGCGAAGGGTCTGAGGAGGCTGCACTTTGTTCATGAAGCAGCTGGGAGTTGTATCAAGCTTTTGTGAAGACAGAAAGCAGCTGCAAAGAGGCCACCTGCTCAGCCCTTCACATCTCCAGTGCCCCCTCTCATCCTGTGCAGGGCCAGAGGAGTCCTCACTGCTTCATAACACCTGCTTCCTTCCCCAGGGGCTTCCTTTGTGCCTCCTGCCCCCCACTGAGGTTTGGATCCCATGAACAGAGTATGGGGCATGCCAGGAAGATGAGGTACAGCAAGCCAGTGGACACTAGACAGAGATGTCAGTCACTCCTGGAAGAGAAAGAAGGCCACACAGGGTCAGGAACTGAGGGAGACCAGTACAGTGGGATACAGTCAGGCTAGGAAGAAACAGAGATGGAGCCTGGAGAACGGCTCCACCCCGCTTTGCTGTCTGTCCAAGAGCCCACACAGACTCTTGGCCCCAGAACCAAATACAAAGTAGTTCTCTGTGTATAAGCGAGTAAGAGGATATACAAAAATATCTGTGTCCATTAGTGTGAGCACAGAGCACAACTGTTAAAACTGGCTGAGATTAAAGCCTACCCCATTCACCTGTTCCCTCCATAAAAGAACTAGTTGGCTCAGGCTCAAAAAGCTAGTTTGCTTGAGTGCCAGGTCTACAACCCCAGTGTCCTGACTGGTCCATTATGTGTTCTGTGCAGAGCCTTTTGACATGTTTGGAGGCATGTGTGTGTGTGTGTGTGTGTGTGTGTGTGTGTGTGTGTGTGTTTACAGACAAAAAGTGTAAGTGGATTGTTAGGCATGATGCCACATACTTTTAATCCCAGTTCTAGGGAGGCAGAGGCAGGTAGATTACTGAGTTCACGGCTGGCCTGGTCTACAGATAAAGATCCAGGCTAGCCAAGGCTACATAGTGAGATCCTGTCTCAAGAAAAAAAAACTTGTGGCCAGTGGATTGATGGCACATTTGCACATTTGTTGAGTAGAGCTTGCTTCTTGGCCATTAAAGCCCAAGTTTTTCAACAGGTGGTGGTGGTGCAAGCCTTTCATCCTAGCACTCAGAAGGCAGAAGCAGGTGGATCTCGGTGACTTTGAGGCTAGCCTGGTCTACAGACTGAGTTCCAGGACAGCCAGGGCTATGCAAAGAAGCCATGTCTTGAAAAACCAAGATGAAACAAACAAAAAACCAAAGTTTTTGCTTCCACTGAACTCATGATAAGGCTGCCTGATCATTCTCTGCTGTGGCTGCTGCTGGTCCTGGGTTGATTTCCTTTCTTCTGTCTCATCCCTGTCGGCTTTCTGCAGCATTTCAAGGGGCATCAAGAGGCCTTCTTCCAGTCCTTCCTTAAAAGGGAACAAGATGAGCCAGGTAAGGTGGCTCACACCTTTAAGCTCAGTATTCAGAAGGCAGAGACAGGTGGATGCCTAGGAGTGTGAGCCAGCTTGGTTTACAGAGTGAGTTCCAGGACTGCTACACAGAGAAACCCTGTCTTGAAAAACCAAACAAACAAACAAAAATAAAAAAAAAAAAAAAAAAGAAAAAGAAAACTGGAAGGCCTGGGGACTTAGCTCTGTAGTAGAGCAGTATGCATGAAGCCCTAGGTTCAATCTGCAGCTCTTGAGGATATGGGGAGAGAAGGAACAGCAAACAGCTCGGTGAAGCTTACAGTCCCATCCGATCCAGATATTTTCAGCAGCACATCTAAAAACTCCTGTGTGTGTGTGTGTGTGTGTGTGTGTGTGTGTGTGGTGTATGTGTGTG